TAAACCCCAAACCCCAAAACCTAAGCCCTAAACCCTAAACCCCAAAACCTAAGCCCTAAACCCTAAACCCCAAATCCCAAGCCCTAAACCCCAATGACCTCTCCTCCGCCGACTTGGCGGAGCGCGCCCGCATCTTGGGCCTCGCGCTGGGCACCTGCGCAGGCTCCACGGGCTCGGGCTCCGCCTTCAGCAATTTCGCAGGGATTTTATGGAAACGAAGATGGAAACTACTATAGTATAGGGTTTTGGGTTTTGGAGTTTAGGGTTTAGGGTTTTAAGGTTTAGGGTTGGGGGGGAATGGGCATCATATGAGCTACAGTCTAGACTCCTAGCATCCCCCTGAGTAACCCCTATGATACTCCCCATCTAATCCAGTATATACCCTGCCATTAAGGAGTGTGTATATGGGCAACTAAGCGATGCAATCCATTCAACAAAGCATGACAAGAATTGCAAATCCATTGCGGTCGAGAAGCTTCCGCTTCGCTTTCAGCCTGCCAAACTCTCTTGCTGGAAGGGAGGGATACATCAGCAACCCCCCTATATAACTCCTATTATAATCTAGTAGTTTCCATTTTCTTTTCCATTATTCCTTTACAACCCCAATATATCCTTGCTATAATATAGCATGTTGACACAGATTGACGCCGCCAACCCCATGAATATTCATTCAAACCACCCAAGCCCCTGATATCAAAGATTCCCAGTGTGGAATACACAGCATGCCGCTAACGCGGGTGCACCCAAGAGGAAGAAAACCGTCAATAATGATCCTTTCTGGGTCCCCAAAATAGTGCGGTCCCAAGTATGTAAGGTACCCCAAAACGGAACATGATTTGACAACCCCCTCTCGGATGACTGGCATGGCAAAGTGCACCCGACCACACATAGAAGCCTCGGTGTCGACCATGGAGGTCGGCTCAGGCTCAGCATCCGCCCTCCTAGGATTCTTATAGTATGAGTATGGCATTGCTAAAGTATATTTTTGTATTATCATGTAGGATGATAATATTTTTATTGTGTTCTTATAGTAGTCTTATAATGTTGGGTGTTTCTGTTGGTGGCTGTAACACGTAAGGTCATTAAAAGGGCCTTGCAGATGGAGTAGAAGATGCCCTTTTTTGGCGACAGTCTTCCTAAACCCTACACTGTAAACCCACTGTTTTCCTGGAAAGCACTTGCGGCCCGTTGCGGCATCACGTGCCAACTCTCTTCGCGGATGAGGCGTTTAAATCAACACAATACTACTGTCCTGGCCCTACATTCAGGTAGCAGAAGTAAGAAGAGTAGCAATAATCGAAATAGCAATCATGGTAAGACGCGCAATAAGAATAGTAATCATAGTCAGAAGCATAAGACTAGTAGTAATAAGAGTACTAATAATAGTAATTATAGTAATCCCCTTTTAACCCCTTTAAAGAGTTTAGGCTATAGCCCATATTGGATTCTACTCCCTTCTTCCTTACTAAGCACCAGTAAGTCTTCATACTCCGAGGGTCTTGGCTTCGTCATCGCTCGGGGGCTCGGTCGCATCATCTTCCGTGGGAGGCTCTGTGTCATCGCCATCAGGCCTGCCATATATCATACACCATAACGATACTGATACTATTACAAATACTACAATCAAGAATTATGGTAATTGTAGCAATAAGACTAGCAATCATAATGCTCATATGAGTCATAGTCTAAGCTCCTAGTATCCCCCTTCATAACCCCGTATATCACTATCTAAATAATCCCCTACATAACCCCCCCTT